GAGCCGAGCCGACGGCAGAGTGCCACCATTGTGGTTGCGACTTGGACACGGCGGAGCACACGCTCGTCGCCTGCCCCGCATGGGAGGGGTGGCGCCGTGTCCTCGTCGCAAAAATAGGAAACGACTTGTCGTTGCCGAGTGTTGTGGCATCGATGCTCGGTGACGACGAGTCGTGGAAGGCGATGCTCGACTTCTGCGAGTGCACCATCTCGCAGAAGGAGGCGGCGGGGCGCGTGAGAGACGCACAGGCCCGCCGCCGTCGAGCGGGGGCCAGGGAGGCGGATATCGCCCAAGCCCTGGCCCTCTAAGTGTTTCGGGTCCCCTCACATGTCGGCCTGGGGACCGGCGAAGGGGGCCTAAGAAGACGACGTGCAAGCTGCTCTGCACGCGTTTTATGCATGAGCATCCGGGTGATGGAAGGCCGGCTATCCTCAACCCACGCTGGTTCTGACCCAGCGGGGTATTCCGTAGGATAGACCATTCTAACCGGCGCCATCTAGGCGGGCTTCGGATAGCCTGCCGACCGAGAGGGCTGGTGGTCGTGGCGCCGACGACCGCCAGTCCGGCGTCCCGAGGGGGAGGGTGATGGGAGAGATGTGCTCCGCACTAAACGCTTCACTTTCCCCCCTTTGCCTTTTCATGAGTTTTGTCTCATGCGAGGTTTGGACGTTGGTTGTTGAGAGACAGGAGGTTTTAGTCGGTTCGACTCCGACATGCCCCGCCCTTCATCCCCAGTGAAGGGCGGAAGTGCTCTAGATTAATAACTACACGTGGAAGGGAGCTGAATAAAAGTGTAGATAAACAGTTCTTGACTACTGTCTCAACTCCGGAACCAACACACTGGCCCACAGACCAGAACAGACTGCCAGACGTTTTAGACTTCTTCATCACAACAGGACTGTCTCGACTTTTCTTCAATGTTGAGTCAGGCCTCGATAGCTCATCTAACCATATTCCAGTTGATTAATGTCTTAAATTAATCATCTTCATTTTATTTCACTCCATATTATTATTATCATTTTTCATAAAAATAAGCATCTATAGGTAGTTTTCTAATTACAGCACTAGAGCGCATTATGCGGCATGATGCGCAACGTTGAATGTTCCAACTACAGCAACGCTTCGCATAATCGAGCACTCTCAAAAGTACTGCTCTTGCGTGATACTCGCAATCACTCGCAATCGATACCAACTCAGTCACAGAAAACTGACAAGTGTTTTTTCTTTAAGTTGGCATTGATCGAAATTTTGTTTATATTATCGTTAGTAATATTATTTATTGTTGAAAAAATTTGTAAGGCTTTCGTTTCGTCGTAGTTTCTTGGAAATGTTCAAAGTTAATTCAAACTGTACTAAAAAAATAAATATAAGTATGGATGAAGTTACAAATAATTACTTTTTTTTATATTTCACATTTAAAATGTGAATGCAATTTCATTTTAGAATTCCAATCTGTAAACAAATTTATTTTACAGGAATATACTTTTGAAAACATTGCAATGGCTTGATCGAATCATCATCATGAACTTAGCGCACTCTGCTGATGCATTTGAAAACTAATTCACGTTCCAATTAAGCTTCAGCATAATTCGGCATTGTGTGCCACTGAGTCGCATTAAGCTCTGTAATTGGAAAACTACCAAATTAAAATAAGGCATGACTTAAAAGTTTTAGTTACCAGGTCATAAAATCCCTTAAAAAATCAACTGTCAATGTAAATGTATGCCGAATTGCCGTAGTAGTACTATGTCAAAATAAAAGCGCAGCAATCAAACACACGTGTTTCTGCAAAATCGCTGAATATGTTAATTTAATAAAAATGCCTCCTCTAAAAGCTGGGTTAAGTTTGAAAAGAAAAATAGAAACAGAAAATAAGGTTGAATCTAAATATGAACAAGAATCATCTAATACTAAAGTACGTTGCCGCTTTGTTAAAAAGCTTTTTTAAACTTTTTGCTACCAATATTATATTTATTCTTTTTAATTTACTCTGTTTTTTTCAGGGGCTAGAAGAGCTTACTTTGAGTGAATTGAATATAGAAGGTGATTCTACGGATTCCGAGCATGAAGGAAATGAAGAAGGCTCTGATCAGGATCAAGATGTAAGAATTGTTTTACTTTCTCAGGAATTCATTTATAATCAACCTTAAACGTAGTTGCTTTTTAAATATTGCCTTGTTAATTCACAGTTCACTTTAGTCTTAATTCAGATGCCATAATGTAAACAAACATTAGTGCCACCTACATTAAGACAATGTTGAAGTTTCTGTTTTATTGTATCATAATTGTCCCCCACTTCAAGCCTGTCTGCATGGCAGTTTTGTAACAGTAATGGTTGTGCATATGAGTGCAGGCCTTACAAATCACCCAGTCACCAGTAATCGGTATTGTTTGTTTGATTTTTATGATTACAAGATTTCTACTGATGATGATTAAATCTGAGCTACATGTTTCCTTAGAAAAATTGATATCTGACTGCCGAATCTTAAACTTGGTATTATTCATATAATTTGATATGAGTAAACTAGGTACCTCATCTTAGGCCACCAGGAAGCTACAATTGGATGTGGAAAACTACAAAATGTTTTTCTTTTAATAATATCATATACACACCTAACTTAAGTGTGCTAAATTCAACAATTTATCCTTTTATTGTTATATGTGTACAATATCACAGTGCAAGAAGCGACTTTCTCGTCCATTCCCAGCTTCTAGTTAACTAACTAACTTTATTTCAAAATATTTCAGGAAGTTTTGTTTAAGGACAGTGATGTGTCTTCCCTTGAAGATGAAGATGTTGAATATGCTTCAGATGAATCATCTGTGAGTAGGTTATTTTTGTATTACACTATAATACTATTAACCAAATTAAAAAGAATGCAGACTATTTATTGATGTACAAAACAAATTACAATAATTATAATACATACTACCTAAATCATACAAGTAGTACCTAGATCTAATCTGGATTGCAATCTAAATAGTATGTGCACTCAGCAAAACCATATTAATGTGCATAGCTTTGGCTGTTGAAAACACAATTGAAATTACAAATATTGATAACTAGCTATTGTTAAATAGGATATCCTTCACACTTCTGACAAATCCCCTGAGTCTAAGTTCAAAGATATCAAGGTTACCGTGACATTTAGCCAAATTATTATACTGCCTGACCATTCTTACCATAGGGTTATAGTTTGATATATTATATTTATATGTCCGTAACGCAAAGAGGTTTACCAAATGCAAATTCCGGGCTCTGAAGTTGGTGTTGTTGTGGTTTTTATGTACTCTTTTAGATATCTGTTACTTCTGGACAAGATTTGAAATATATTTTTTTTAGCTAGAGCCCTATCCTGGATTTATTTGTTCAATTGGTTTCTTATGTTTCATTTGTGAAGTGGTTTTTATTTAAATTACAGTCATTTTATTTGCTTGAGCTGGTAGCCTACGAATCCCCATGCGCTAGTCTGATCAGGTGAAAGATCTTACTGAAACCCCACTTAACGAGTGTGTGCGCCAAGCCTCAGCTCGCAAACTATGGAAAACATCCGTCAAGGCTTTAATAAACAAGGATTCCACACGACCACGACTACTCTGCCAAGAGCAACCGACTATGCTGATGGTAGCATACAAAATAAGTACTGGTTGGGTGCTTTAAGCTTTCAAGATTTCTAGCTAATTCAGTGATCCTGTTAGTTACTACTGATTCCAAGGTTTCTGTCATGGTCTTTTAGATGTAACCTTGTACAACTCACACACCACTGGCCTTGAACAGCAATGAAATGTTCTTTTTTGGAGCCTTGACATCTTAAAGACTTCTGTTGAAGTTACTAGGTTAAGAAATCACAGAGGGACTGCTTTTGGTTTTCGTTTTTCATAGGGGAGCTTGTGATGGTTCCTGCTCTTAATGTTCCTTTAGGAAACAAAAAACTTATTGTCTTAAATTGTGTCCCATTGCTTTAAATTGTAAAGCTTCATATGATACTTATGAATTTAAACTCAAGCATTAACGCTTTTAGAGTATTTCATTAAGTATCAACAAAAACTTTTAGGCAAAATCTTTTCTTATAGGAGTTAACAGATTCAGAGGCTGAAGGTGAATCTGTGAACAGCAATGATAATAACAATGCAGACAGTGAAGATAGTGACAAAGAAAGTGATGCAGAATCTGGCATTGGACACACTCATGGCTCCAGTGGCAGTGAATCTGATAAACAGACTTTGAAAAATAAACAAAAGAAAAAAATAGCAAAGCAAAAAATTAAAACGAAGAAACCAGATAAAGACTTAAAAGAAAAGTCACAAAATAAAAAAGGAACCACTTCTAAAGGCAGTGTGGATAGACTAGCTGACGTCATTGAGGGATCTTCACAAATGCAACCTGTCGAACAGAAAGGTAAGTTTTATTATAGGACATCTCAGGTTCTCAGGTTTTGATTATTAATTACACTGTTGGTAGCTGATAGCAATTTTTACTGGTGGTAGGACCTCTTGAGAGTCCGCGCGGGTAGGTACCACCACCCTGCCTATTTCTGCCGTGAAGCAGTAATGCGTTTCGGTTTGAAGGGCGGGGCAGCCGTTGTAACTATACTTGAGACCTTAGAACTTATATCTCAAGGTGGGTGGCGCATTTACGTTGTAGATGTCTATGGACTCCGGTAACCGCTTAACACCTGGTGAGCTGTGCGCTCCTTCATCCATAAAGTAATAAAAAAAAATTGCACTAGGGGCAATTATTGTGCATCACCCTACGATCAACAATAGTAACTAGATAAAGGGACACGTACCAAATCAAAGCAAAAACTGTCCGCGTGAATATACACATACATAGCTAGAGTGGTTTACAACAAACGGAGAAAAAAGTTTTGAAACAGTTTTAAGTTCAAACTAATTACAACTATGGCACCTAGTAATAAAGTCACAAATCTTCAAAACATTATCTAATACTTACGATTATTCGTCACAAAGCAATAAATTACTCCTGTCACTTAAAAATGAAAAGACATATGTTAAACAACCTTTAATGTTAAATCAACCTTAAGTGCCAACAAATAAAGTAATTTTTCCCGTTATAGCTTTGAGAACTAACATCATATTTTTTATTTTTTCTTGCTTCTTGAAATTTCGATTTCTATTTACTACAGGAGGCAAGGGAGTCGCGTCGAACAATAAAATAATTTATTAAATGAATAAAAGTAAAAGTTTAGTTGTTTACTTTTTATGTTTTGAGAATGTATGTTTGTTAGTATCTATACAATACTTATTATTTTATTAGCGCTACGTTTTGTAATACATATTTTTATAGTATATTTTTAAGTTTTCGCGACTAGTACACATAATAAAAAAACCTTTAAACGGTTTTAAGCGCGATATTTTTATTACAATGCTTCGGCCACGTTTCAGTAGCCGTGAGCACGGAAGGCAAAAATGTCCAGTGTCAATGAGTCAAGTTCTTAGCTTGGTTATAAAAGTAATCTCTTCTTTCTCTGGCGACAATCGAGATCCATTCCACACACGTGATTGTTAGGAAAGCTAAAATAAAAAAGGAAAGCTAAGTGTCTAATAAAAGTCCAACAAACAGACACAAGAGCAGCATTAACCAATTTTAACTAACCAATTTTGAAGTACTGCTAACAAATTTTTAAAAATTATTACAACACAAATCTACTCTATGCATTTACTCTTCTGTTAAATAAAAGTTTGTCCAAGTGTTGGCGAGCCTTGGCCAACTTTTGTAGCGGTGGTTAAAAATCGGTAATTTTGTTTAAAATTTAATATTATTTATTAGCTTAAAGCTTAAAATATAACTTATACCACATGTACTTACTGAAAGTAAGATACTCCGGCCGTTAAATTGCTATTTCGGGCATTTTTTTGCAACTTTTGAATATACAGTGCGGCATTGTGAGAAGGGTAGACATTGGCAGTGTCTGAAGTGAACTAAACAAAATAAGAGCTCACATTTCAAGTGAGCTGTTATTTAACGAGACGGATTTTTGCGCTGACCCGAAATCTAGTTACTATTGTTGATCGAAGGCATCACCTGATGAACTTAATATTAGAGGTGTTCAATAAAAAGTGTTAATTAGTATGACGCAATTATCTTTTGTTAAATGTTATATGTTGTATTGGAGTTCAACTAGTGACCAAAATCCAAACCAAATCATTCTCTCAACACCTAGACATCTCAATATGTAGGTTAAATTTATGTTTTACATTATTTTTTTTGTTTTTGATATTGACATTTAGGTTTGTTTTTCTTACACTAAAGCTCCAGAAATGAACAGAACAGCAAACACTGATATTATTTATGTACTAGTTTTGTTTGTTGTTTATGTCTTTTAACATAAACACTGTCTAAACCTTTTAGATATAACAAAACAATGTATAAGTACTAGTGGGATATTCTTCTTTAAATAAGTCAGCGGTGTCAGATGTCCATTTTTGAAGGATAACTTACTATACCCATTATAAGTTTTAAAAAAATTGTCATGTATAATGCAGTGATTGCAAAGCTAATTAGATGGATACAGTATTAATCCTTATCATTTATAGACGTCAGAGGCCTTAAGCTTTTCATGCAGATTATTAACCACTTTTTTACACTACATAATTGAAATGCGTATCAATACAGGCGCGATAGTACAATTCAAGCGAGTTCTCGCAACGACCCGCTCCCCTCCCCCCGTACCGTACCGTCTACTATCTCGCCTACTGTTTGTAAGAAGCCCAACCATACCAAAGTGAAGCCAGGGCGGGTCGCTAGTGGAATTTATGAAACAGTTGCTTGTTTTGTTTTGTCTTCAGACTTTTGAAGTAACATAAATCTTAAATATTTTTTGATTGTTGAAGTGCTTTACACAGTATTACTACTTACAGATGAATATGAATCGGGTGACACGTCCGATGAGGAGGAGCGTCGTAACACGGTGGGGGATATACCGATGTGGTGGTACAATGAATACCCCCATATTGGTTACGATCTGGATGGACGGAAGATTGTCAAACCACCACAGAGAGATCAAATTGATGAGTTCCTCAAGTAAGGAACAAGATTCCTTGATAACTAATAAAGACTGGCCATTTGACCTGGTTCAACTAATTGATAGTGATGACTATTGATCTTAGATTAATGATTTTCAATCACTGTGCCATGGCACTTTTGTGTGCAGTCTTATTTTAAAATCATTACAATAAACGTACATTGTTAATCACTGAAATAGATAATACTAACAGACACACAAGTCGTTGAAGACTTCTAAGTCTTACTTGGTGAACGTCATTTCATAGGATATGAAAATAATTAAAGACTGGCAGAGGCCAGTCTGAGTCCCTGGCATTGGCATTGTTCATGAGCGATAGTGACTATGAGTTGAACTGCAAACTCATATGCCTACAAAGACAAACATAATATGTATATACCACTAAACAGAGTTCATTTTTATCATTGTTTTGTTTTTTTGTGCATGCAATATATGGTCCCCAGTGGTACCCAGTGGTATCAGGCCTCACTAAAAAGACTAAGATTTTGTAAAATTTGTATCATGAATAAAAAAAATAATAATAATAGAATAATTCCTTAGATATGTCACAAGGAGTCACATATTCATTATTTGATTTCTAGAAAATGTGAAGATCCAGATTTTTGGAGAACAGTACGTGATCCCTCAACAGGACAGGACGTGGTGCTCAGCAAGGAAGACTTGCAGCTCATACAGAGGATCCGGGAGGGCCAAGTACCCAACCCTGACCATGACGAGTACCAGGTCAGAAATATTCCCCCTAAAACAAACATTTCGTTTAATGGCATAGAACATACAGACACGAATAGAATTTTTGCATACATTATGTAATGTTAGAGACATTGGAATATGCTTTCACAGAATTGTAGCAAAATAGCATGTTCGAGTATTCAGGAAGCTTTGGTCGCTCGAGATAAGGGTCTCCTCATTAGATGATTGAAAAAACTGATCTGAAAGAAAGATAATAATATATTAATAATGTATGTAATAATAATTGTTTTGTGAATATGACGGAGAAACTAATGTATTTCATATTTGACATGAGAATGCTCGCATTAATATTCCAACTGTGCTCACACGGGTGTGTTCCGCGTCCGCCGCAGCCGTGGGTGGAGTGGTTCAGCCGGGAGGTGCTGGCGACGCCGCTGCGGGCCTTCCCCGAGCACAAGCGCTCGTTCCTGCCGTCCCGCTCCGAGCAGCTGCAGATCGCCAAGATCGTGCACGCCCTCAAGATGGGCTGGACCAAGACCAGGAAGCAGCTGGCCGCCGAGAGAAGGGACAGACGGGTCAGTTCACACACTCTCTCATCATGTACTCCTCATTACATTAACTAATTATTAACGTTCAAATATGTTGCCATCAACATGATCAAAATTCAATTGATCTCTCCATTGATTCTTTCTTGATCAATTAAATTGAATTCATTTTCAATTGACCTATTAATCGCCCAAAATTATGTATTCGCCACACTTAGAGTTTTTTTTTTAACAGTGTATTTAATAGTAATAATCGGTATATTTAATTAATTTAATTAGTATAATATGAGAATTCACTTATTATTATTTAAATACTAATTAAATGCTTGTTTAGTTGACATAAAATAAATATACACTTGATTTGGGATTTACAGCTATGTTATAACGTTATAGTTTTTGTTTAAAAATGATGCAAAATATTCCACAAGTTTTTGTGGAAATTAAATTTATCTGACATTCTAATTGATAGGAAAGTAAATTATATCGTCATTACACGAAACTGTATTAACTAGCACTTTTTAATCAAAAAGATATTTATTGTATTGACCTGAAGTCTGTCTATACTACAGGAGAAAAAGTTCTATAACCTGTGGGGCTCCACCGGAGAGGGGGAGGGCCGCGCCCCGCACCGCCCCGTCCCCCCCCCCCCCNGGTATCGTCCCCGCCTACTTGTACGATATCCACCGTCGAGGGCCGCGCTGAGACTGAGCGAATGAATTATCCTGCAGATGAAAGAATGGAACAAGCTGAAGGAGACCCCGTGGAAGCGCAAGTACACGTTCCTGCCGACACGCCACGCCTCGCTGCGGGAGGTGCCCGCTTACCAGCGCTTCGTCCGTGAGCGCTTCCTGCGCTGCCTCGACCTGTACCTGGCGCCCCGGGCCATCAAGATGAGGGTCACTATTGCCCCCCACATTTGTACAATAATCGGAACGAGCGAAGAGCGCGGCAGTGTAGTAACAAGTAGTACATTTCCAGTTGACGATCTCTGCGTCGGAGCTGGTGCCCCGGCTGCCGTCCCCGCGCGAGCTGCAGCCCTTCCCGACGGGCGAGGCGCTGTGCCTGCGCGGCCACGCGGCGCCCGTGCGCTCCGTCGACTTCGAGCCCTCCGGACAGTACATCGTCAGCGGCGGCGACGACGGCGCCGTCAAGAGTACGTCTCAATGCAACCAACAGAACTGTATCTCGTCGCAGTTCATATTTAACTCAGTTGCAACGCACCCTTAGAAAAGATTGACTGAACTGGTACCGTTTTGCTTAATTGAAATAACGGAGTCCGTACTATAACAATACTACATGTTCACCGCAGCGCGCCGGCTCGGCTCATGCCACTCATTGCAGATTGAATTAGGGTAGGCCACTTTCGGTCAGAGGTCACAGAACAAAGTTGCAAATTAAAATATATTGTAAAAACTAAAAACAGACACTCCAATATCAAGCTGCACTAAAATTCCAAATATGTATTTTGTTATCCGGGTGGTCCAGTCAGGACATTAGGCCAAAGTAATATTTAATTGTATTGTATTCAATCCCAGATGCGTGAGCCACAATTAGATACATATGTATTTAGATATAGATTATGTAAATAAAATTTACAAAAAGCTCTATAAATGCGTAATAAAATAGTTTATATGCGGTTTCAGTATGGGAGACTAGTACGGGTCGCTGTCTCCGCACAATAGAGCTAGGCGAGCCCGTGAGCCGCGTGCTGTGGAGCCCCGCGCCCGCGCTGTGGCTGGTGGCGGCCGCCGCCGGGAGCCGCCTGCTGCTGCTCAACCCGGGCACGCGCATCGGCCACCACCGCCGCGCCGCGCGCACCGACCTGCTGCTCGACGAGCCGCCCCCGCAGCACGACGTGCAGCGTGAGCACTCACTCAACAACTCATACTTCATTTGGATGCGATGACTCACTTTTTTTTTTCGCTATCAAATAAGTTTTTATCCGCTTTAAATCAGTATATCTCAAATAAATGCTCTAAGCTAAAAAATAAGCTTTCTAGTTCCCCAAGTCTTGTAAGAGTCGACTAATGTACTGAGTGTGCTAAAATGTCATAACGCGCAGCGGACGAGCGCACAGCGTCTGCAGTGAAGTGGGAGCGGGTCACTCCGGAGGACTGGGCCAAAGGGATACGCATTGCGATCACGCACTTTAAGCCCATCGTGCACGTAAGTTCAATTAGACATTTTATAGATCGCATTTAAATTAAATCTCTTCTCGATCTTTAGATTCTGACTTTAAAAAAACCCACCCGGGTGCTTCCCTTCTCGTCAATAAAGACGTCCGTTGTAAAGAGTGCGTGCGCAGGTGTCGTGGCACGGGCGCGGCGACTACGTGGCGGCGAGCGTGCGCGCGGAGGGCGGGCGCGCGGTGTGCGTGCACCAGGTGTCGCGGCGCCGCTCGCAGCTGCCGCTGGCGCGCCTGGCGGGGCAGGTGCAGGCGGCGCACTTCCACCCCGCGCGCCCGCTGCTCGCCGTGGCCACGCAGCGCGCCGTGCGCCTCTACGACCTGCTCGAGCAGGAGCTGGTGCGCAAGCTGCGGCCGGGCGCGCAGTGGATTAGCGACTTCGCCTTCCATCCCGCCGGAGACAACATGCTCGTGGCTTCTTACGACCGGAAGTGCATGTGGTGCGTACTGGTCCTGAGTGCGCGGTCGCGTGCTGCAGCGGGGTGACGGTGCGGCGCTCTCTTGCAGGTTCGACCTGGAGCTGTCCCCGCGGCCCTACCAGACGCTGCGGCTGCACGGCGGGGCGGTGCGCGCGCTGGCCTTCCACCGGCGCTACCCGCTGTTCGCGACGGGCGGCGACGACGCGCACGTGGTGGTTTCGCACGGGATGGTCTACAAGTACGTGTCGCCCGACTGCCGCCGGACCGCGTAAACTCCTTCCCGTACCTAATGAGTGTGATGTTGTCTGCAGCGACCTCCTGCAGAACCCGCTGATAGTCCCGCTCAAACAAATCCGCGGCCCGGAAGTCAAAGACGAGCTGTGCGTGCTGGACCTGCGCTTCCACCCCACGCAGCCCTGGCTGCTCGCCGCCGGTGCAGATTCTACTATCAGACTCTACTCTTGAAACCCAATAAGAAAAACTTTAGCACACAATATAAATAGCACTATTATTTTGATGGAATGTCCCTTTTCTTACACTGCGGCGGTGGGCGCGCGCACGTCCTGTGACCACCACTGAGTGCAACAAATTGCCAAATAGACATACATATTATCAATCATCCTACCTATTGTTACTGTAAAACCCTAATACATTGGTTTACATTTATCTCATATCTCAAAGTGAACTGCAACTTTTACATCATGTTTGTGGGCCTTTTTGGACTGGGGGCAGAATATTTTAAGGAAAACCTGCATTGTGGGGGCACCTTCGAACCTTGCCCGAGGCAAAGACCATCGGTACCTAGTTGTTGGCTTTCTTAAAAGTCAATTATTACCTTTATATATAGTTCTGGTGATATAATTAAGAATGATTTAAAATAACAGTTTTTTTTTTATCTAAATCATATTGATATGTGTATTTATGCAAGTGTTCCTTCTCATATGTAACCAGTTATGTTATGAAACAGTCATATATAACATACATATGTATATATTCCCACATAGGTATAGCAATAAATTTAATCAGTTTGTAATGAATTTAACCAGTTTGTAATGAAGCTGAATAAATATATAAGAAAAAATTGAAATTGCACTAGTGATTTTATATGAAGCCTAAATTATATAATTTCAGTATTATTGGTGGTAGGATGTCTTGTGAGTCTGCACGGGTAGGTATGTATCAACAGTAGCACCGCCCTGCCTATTTCTGCCGTGAAGCAGTAATGCGTTTTGGTTTGAAGGGTGGTGCAGCCATTGTACTTTTATAACTAAGACTTTAGAACTGATGCTTCAGTGGGTGGCGGAATTTACGTTGTTAACCTCTTCACACCAGGTGGGCCATGAGCTCGTCCAACCATCTAAGCAATATCAAAAAAATGTGAAGTGTGTAAAGGAAAATACATTTTTAACTAAAATTAATAGTTAGAAGCACATTCACGGTCTTTAATTACTGCACTACACCAGTATTGTCTCGTCCGAATAAAGTACATTTCTCCACAGTTTAGCTGTCCAGTTTTCATACCTTCTTGCAATTACAAGCCTGGACTGTCTATGTCATCGTTTCAACAGGGACACTTTTCTTACTATCCTTTCGTGAAACTATTCTTCTATGAAGCGCCTTCGAATCTTTTATACAACCGATTCTTCTCGCGAAGTTTTATTATTACTATTTGTACGATAGCTCAGTTTTATGATATTTTAAAGATTTAAAGAATTACGGACTTACCGCCAACTGCTCAAAGATTTCACGACTCCTTTTTCAAATGTTGCACAAACTGCGGCAACACGTAGCGCTAGTGTCGCGCTCAGTTTTGATTGCGCGAGTACCGGGCAAGTTGGCGGGAGATTTCAAAATGTAAACCCCAAAATCGAACATTCCCCCCACCGAAATCCGCCCGGATTTCCCATTACGATACCAATCAATAACAATGTTTTGTTGATTCAGTTTCACAGTGGACTGTATTTATTAAAATTATTTTAAGTAATTAAATCTAAGTATTTAAACAATAAACTTGACTTATAACTAAAAGAGAGATCACACAAAGGCCTACCTTTATGTAATCTTATTATGAGCTAATGTTTATGTTATAATGCTAACTCTATGTCCGTCGCTATTGGGGGCGGACAAAGCTTAACGACAGGACGCACCGTTTCGTTATTTTTTATACGAACTTGCACGACACCATCCACGCCTGACTTAAATACAGTGACTCGCGCTAGATCCCACTGTAAAGGTGGTGGTGGTGCGTGTGATTTAATGAGAACTAAAATTCGACAGTTGTTGAACCACTTTTGTCGCTGCTGAAATGTGTGGAGGTATTCTTGGTCCCACCATTTCCAAAAAAGTTGTGTAAAGAGTTGTAAAATTTTCCACCGCTCGCGAGACAAAAAACGATGCTCACTGATATCGAATACCGGTACAGCGAACAATTCCCGCCCGATCACAACATGTGCCGGCGTCAGCACTTGGAACTCCTCTGGGTCATCAAACAGTAGACATAGCGGTCTACAATTGAGAACTGTTTCAACCCGAGCAAAAGGCGTTCGGAGCTCTATGAATGGAAATGATTTGTCTCTTACAATCCGTTTCAAATATAATTTAGCAGATTTTATTGCAGACTCATAGAAACTACCGAAACGACCACCTCTAGGAGGGTTATGGCTCCGACGAATATTACGCGCTACAAGTTCTCTTGATAAGCTTTCTAAGTAAGACTCGAAAAAACGCGTAACATCTGCTGAATGTTTCGTAGCCGACACAAAATTGTCATTATCTGAAATAATCATGAGACATTGACTTGTTGTAATTCCTTGCAAAGTGCGAGGACCAACATATAAATAAAATTTATGACAATAATCTATTAAAATGTTTGTAAAAATTGAATTTTTGAATAAAAGTAAAGAATGTTTCCTATCAGGTGAAAGACTAGAATTAGACAATTTACCCCCCACCCTGAGGAAACAGTTTGAATCCATGAAGGTAATTAGTTTCCGCAAACTTTGAGAACATCTCTGACCTTTTTGTAAGGCCATAATGTCGTCCACAAATGAATTACTTTGTACGATTTTAATAATAATGTCGTGAGCCTTTCTGCTGTCATCCACAAACAGCGATCTACGTTCTGATTGAGAGACTCGACAGTTGTGGATAAACAAGTAAGACCGCGCGATTATACTCACAAGCTTACTAAAACTAGAGTATCTGTTGGTGAGGTCCAACAGTGAATATGCTTCTATGACTTCTGTTGAGACAAGTACAGTACTTAAAGTTTTTCGTTCTAGGCTTAGAGTTATAGGTTTAACTGGACCCTCTGACTGGAAGTCATTAAGCCAATGGAGGCCGATAAACCACTCATGTGTTTTGCATGATGCATTAAACACGCCTCCAAATTTGTTTGTTGTATTAGAAAGCCACAAAATACAGAGATGCGGGATGATAAATTTCGAATCCACGTTTTGTACCGCGCCTACGTGGCTCTTGTGTCCACCAAGATTTTCGTACTCACGAATAAATTTTAAATTCGGATGGCGTTCCAACTTTTTTTCTATATTAATGTATTTATGTTCTTCTGCTCCAGATGAAACGCCAAGTTTTATAAAAGGTTGTAAAGAGTAGTTTACGAAATACCTATTTTTCTTATCACGGTTACAATCGCGATCAAACAATGTCCCTGCTAATATATTATCTAGATGTTGTGGTTCGTTGATAAGAATGCTTTCCTTCTCAGAGACAGACTGCGTTTCTTGCTCCAAGTTCACAGAAAGGGCCACAAATGATTTTGTATTATTGCTTTTGATATGATGATTTTCCGTGTCTACAGTTCTATGACCCGAAATCGATACTTGACCTGCAATGACGTAGCCGAAAATGGAATGCAATGCCACCGGCATGTTCTTATCTTGTGGCATGATCTTTTCTCCATCATAAATTTGAGGAAATAGATCACCGGCCAATAACATGTCGATGGGACCCGATATACCAAAAGTTGGATCAGCAAGTGAAAGATTTTGAAATTTACGGATCACATCATCTGAGATAGAGATAGTCGGTAGATTTCCGGCTATTTTCGCAACTATGACTACATCGGTAGTTAATATGGGGCTATCGCACTGACGCGGTTTTACAGTACAGGTAGTTAGCCCCAGATCTGCAATAGGCTTGGCACCTAGACCAATAGAATCGAAATCACACTTTCTCCGCCCTAGTCCTAACCTTAATGCACAGTCTTGAGTTATGTAGCCCGTCATGGCACCACTGTCAATTATAGCACGTACGGGTTGATAGATGCCCCAACAATCTGCGACGTGTATAATTGCGGTTCCGAGCAAGACTGTCGAAGTTGTAGAAACGGTAAGAGCCACCGAGCTG